ACAAACCAGCACAAAATAACCATAAAGCTGATTTGATCTTATGTTGATGTTGTGCCTTGAATGTCCTAGATTTACCTATGTACACTTTTCTCTTAGCCAATTTAATTCCTCTTTAGTCAATATATGACTCATATTGCCTTTCTCATATGCACAGTGCTCACACTTATGAAATCTACAAAATGATATCATAAGGGACTATTCTCAGGCACTAGCATAGGCATATATATATCAGGTAGTCTTCCTTTTGCCCATATATCACTTTGACAAGAAATAGTCACTTTCATAGCACATTACTTTTAGATTGCATCTATCATAATCATAGGATAAATGCTAAAGTAGCAAGCACTATAACTTACCTCCATGATATTGTTAAAGTCAAATGACATCTTTAAAAGGATTATTCTTTCTTGGGACTTACACAACAATGAAGTAGGGATCTTTTCACTTTCTTTCCAAATCACAGTTCTTAAGCACATGTGGTATGAATTATATGTTATGGTGTTACTCTTGCTTTTAAGAGCTTACATCATTTTCATTTATTATTAACATTGCACAGACTTAAGTTTAGACAAATATAGTATCTAACCTAAATTCTCCAACACATCTCTCATGATGTTAAACTTAAAGAATTTATTGCTTGGCTATAGGCATCACAGATGTGAGAATCTATGATTCAATATATATATATATATATGCAGATCTCATCTCAACATACTCCTCTTTTATGCTGAAGTGACATATAACTTGTGTTTCTTTATCACCATATCTACATTCTTATTGCCTTGCTAGTGAACACAGATGTCTTAACTTTGTTTGCTCTTCTTGAGTGTCAAAGGCGGTTGCTCATGTGAGAGATTCAACCTTCTCTACCTATATGATATATTAGACATTGCATACTTTCACATATATATGTATAGCAATGATGAAATAATTTTCATCAAAAAGCTATTTTATGTATGCTATTTCATTTCCAACATATGCCAAGGGACTTGTTACATTTTATGCAGATTTCCTTAGCTATAAGCTTTGTAAAGGGATTTCTTATCACATACTGTGTAGGAATTAGTTGTACAATACAACTATATGTGCTATAATGTATAATCTCCAATTACAAGTTGTAAGGTCTCCCTTACTAAAACAAGATTAACTTCTAAATCATAGGTATTCATGACTAAATTGAGATGCCAAGGTTGTAACTTCAATAATGAGGGATCCAAAGTTTTTGAAATTCTAAACACTAATAATGCCAAACATGTTATAATAAAAACTAAGAGTTAAAAACATTTACGAAAGCCTGGAAATCCATTTTGAATCAAAGCATTTGCAAAAGAAGTTGAAAAAATCTTTTTAGTAAAATAGCATAGGTGTGTCGCAGCCTGCTGAAGACACACTGTGGCATGTTGCATTTATGCCATGCGCCGCAATGCATTACACTAATTTTGACAATAGATTTACTGTCATAACACAACACCCGAGGTGAACTTCTAACACGCCCCTATTTCTCCTTCTAACATCCGATTAGGGTGATCTAGTTATTTATAAAGAGAGTCATCCGAGCTCTAGCTAATGTTTATAGAGAAATTTCACAATCAAGTCAATTTTCAATCAAAAGTTGGACAACCATTTTCAAACTCACTCCTTTTTTACAATAATACACAACTTGAGTTTCCATTTCACATTGTAAGTGCTAAGAGCTGACACCACCCCTTAGATCACACTTAATGGACTATAACGGACTCGTGCAACACACCACAACAACTAAACAACATATATATCATTTTTTTGATGCTCAAACTTGACCACAAAAACATAAGACGGAGTGAAATTCTCATAAATCAACATATAAATCATCGTATTCATTCATTTACACATCTTCCTTCTTGCACTAGCATTTTAACCCTATTTAAACTTTACATCCGCATTATATACAGCCTAAGACACAAAATATGCAATTTCAATCAATTTCACAATTAGTGCAAGTAGTCAAAAATTATATGAAATCCTAGTTTGCAAATTATCAATGCAAATACACATAAATATAACTACAAGACCTACTAGTAGGATTTCCATAGAATCCTATGCCTCTTGTTATTTTCCCTAATCCTAGTCTGATGAACTAGTCCTTATAATATTGAAGAATGAAAGGTGAGTATAACTATCAGTAACCAAGGTTAGTTTAGTCTATACAAATGCATGACAATTAATTATAAATGCAAATGGCAATAACAATCTTTTCATAATTTTTTACGATCTTTAATAGGTGGCCATGACCACAATATTAACAATCAAGTAGCTAGGCACACTACTTATCACCTCACAAACCCTATCAAATCATGTCGAACCACAATAATAACAATCATGTGGTTGGAAGATGAAATGCATGATAAATGCCAACCTTATACTCTCCTGATTCCTCCGACATGAAATTGATAGCTACATTTATGAACTAAGAGTAACTAAGCCTTCTACTCGTGAGGAGCTAATTGGCCAAGGCTACCTTACTCACCTGTAACTCACGATTCCCCCTAATACTAACATTCATAGGGTGTTATACCCTTAATCTAGCCTCCTTATGAATCAGTAGAGACTAGTTAGGCTTGAGTCCCTTGAAGAATAAGTGGAATAGTCCCTTATCAACCCTGGGACAGTGACTACCTCCCAATTTCAATGGTCAGTAGTCTAGCTAGTTTTCAATTTCAATAGTAAGCCATCAATACCATATAGATTTATCACATCTACTCCTCTCTCTATAGGCAAATTCTCGCCACAAATGATCATGCCATGCAAACATCAACACGTAGTATGTAAATATATTGACATTCATCCACATCATAATATACTCATTACATACCATCTCCATCACATTCCCCCTAATACTAACATTCATGGGGTGTCATACCCTTAATCTAGCCTCCTTATAAATCAGTGGAGACTAATTAGGCTTGAGTCCCTCGAAGAATAAGTGGAATAGTCCCTTATCAACTATAAGACAGTGACTACCTCCCAATTTCAATGGTTGGTAGTCTAGCTAGTTTTCGATTTCAATAGTAAGCCATCAATACCATATGAATTTATCACATCTACTCCTCGCTCTATAGGTAAATTCTCGCCACAAATGATCATGCCATGAAACATCAACACGTAGTATGTAAATATATTGACATTCATCCACATCATAACATACTCATTACAGACCATCTCCATCACATTCCACATATCTCATCATGCACAATATCTCATGTTATTCATTTTCATACACACACACACACACACACACATACATAGTCTTAATCAATATCATCAACAACGCATACATAATATACATATCATTTTCTTGATTCAAGCACATTTCTCACCCAACATATAACTTGGCACAATTTTCATTGAATGAATTTATAAACACCTAATAAGTTTCAAACAAATTATTTCAACAAATAATTAATTATGAAACAATCATACAGACTAAATTTCCCCTGGTTGCCTCAAACTTTCGAGAGGTCAAAGATTTATTCCTTAAAATACAAACTTTCAAAGCTCTCCTCAAGCTTGAATGGTTCCCAAGAGTGACTATATCTACAATTAATCACATCATTCATCAATACTATTTTCATTGGGATAAATTCCAACACTCTAACTCAACATCCCCTAACTTACCAAAATCATAACCTCACTTTCAAACATACCTATTAGGTTTACTAGGTTCCCTTAACTCACATTATCATTAATGAACTATTAAACCATCATTAATAGCCATTAAACACTCTCAACTACCACATTAATGCTAATTTTCAAACATTAATGGTCTACTCCAACCAACCACTTGTAAAACCATTAATGCTAGGTTTAAATAACGTAAATAACTCCTATTGACTCTATTTAAGTCAATGAATTTGGACCTGTAGCCATTATAGATCAAAAATTACTTTCCTAACTCAAATCCTAACTTAACTCTTTCATAAAATGGAATAAAAAAAAGGAGGAAAGGAGTTTAGGAACCTTATCTTAGGTGTTTAATGGCTTAGAAATGCACCCAAACCTCCAATGTAGTAAGCCTTAGTAAAGAATTTCACTTGCCCTTTAGTTTCCTCCTTTCTTTCTTTTGATTTTGCAAACCGACGCCGATTGGTTTAAGTAGAAATTTGACTACGTGCATAGAGAGGGCTCTCCTTTGTTGATGTTTACATATGCGCCACGATGGATGCATTGCATGCCATGGCATGAGGCATGGAACTATTCCCTTCAAATTTTCTCCCATTTTAATGCCTATGTGACTTAACTTCACTTTGAACTCAATTTAAGGCTAAAATCACAATCAGACATACTCATTAGACCTCTCTAGCCACATATCACTTTAATTTACTTAATCACCTTAATTGGCCTTAATTAATTAGGATTAAATTTTTAAGATGTTACAGCTTTCATTTCCGTTTAAAAATATTATCCTTAAAATTCAAACAACCAAGTAAAACATACTTCAATGGAATAAGTAGGGATACTGTTGTCTCATTTTCTCCTTAGTCTCCTACGTAACTTCTTCAGGAGTCATTCCCTTTCATATCACCTTAACTAGGAGAATTGTAAAAGGGGTCTTAAATTAGGACTTAATCATTAGACTAACTATAGTAAATCAAGGACTAACCCAAAAGGATTATCCTATAAGAGATTAACCTAAACAAATTCTTAACATGTATTTTCACAAACGATTCAATATAAAGGGATCTTAAATCTTTAAAATATCTCAAGAACTTGTATCATTCAATTAAACATATGCGGAAGCATGATAAAAGAAATACATCAACATGAGAGAAGAGCTTCCCCCTTTATTTTCTCTCTATGCCTTACTCTACAATACATATATACATATTTACAACATAACACTTGGCCACTCAAACCTTCCATAACTGGCAGTGGGGGGCCAAGGTCTCAATTACATTTATCACAATGACTATTACCTAATTATCATACTCTATATATCACCTATTCATCAATAGCCTATCATATACATGAATTTTCCTTTTCATTCACATATAATTAATATCAACTGTTCACCCTTGGACATCAAAAACATAAGGGGAGACCATAACAACATTCAAGTTCTCAAATTAGGCAAATATTAACTATTTTCACTTACACAAATATTTTGGCCCGTTAATATAGCACAAGCATCAAACCACATTCCTCAGGGCCTAAAATACATTTTTCCCAACACAAAACCCATAATGCAAGTAGATCAAGAATATATTATCTTAGTTGGCAATATCATAAACTAAATACACATATCAAAATAAAAAGAGAAAGGCCTACAGAAGTGATTACTATCACTTGGCCTAATGCTCCTTTCCTCTGTTCTTTTGAGATGAGCTAGCTCCTGTAATATGTTAAAAGAGAGGGGTGAATACAACCACTCAGTAACCAATGTATATCTAAGTTATACAAATGCATGATAATTAATCATGAATGCAAGTGGCCAAAAAATTTATCAAGGTGACCATTCAAACAATCACATTAATAACATGTTAATCACATTAACATTTAACTCATGTGAATAATTTCAAGAGTAAAGTGAAGTACAAAATTTACACAAATAGCTACATATACATTATTCACATAATTACTACATGTTCTCATTTCTACAATTATAATCATATTCTCAACATAGCCATCAATCACTTAAATGGCATGATAGTAATAATATGCATGATCGATCTCTTCCTTATATCCCTCTTTATTTCCTCAAACATGAAATCTGTGGGCCAACAACCGAAAGGGATCGTCCATATGGTGAGACTACCTAAGGCCTTAATCATATCATGAGGGACTACCGGGCCAAGGTTACCTTACTCACTTATGAACACGGTTTCCCTCAAATCACACACTATGGGGTGTCATACCCAAAATTAGCTCTACTCAAAACTCCAGGTAGGCTAGTAAGGTCAAGTTCCTTAATAGGAACAATGCTACAGTACCTTAAAAGGTAAGTAGTGACTATAACCCCTAGGATTATTGGTTAATAGTCAAGTACCATATGGATTTTGCATAACCGCTAACTCTTTCACTAAGGCGAACTCCCGCCATATGATAATGCTCATGAGAAAATGCATTTAAAAAACTCATATATAATTCACAATTATCCCACATGCTCATCAACTTTCTTGCTCAACAAACATCAAGAATCATCATTTTTCAATCATGCCTCTTGCCTCAATTTTTATATTATCACATAAAACCACATTAGCATCATGTAAAACTCAACATGCTTATACAATTCATCACTGTGCATAATCCACAACTTATATCCAAGAGTGTACACATAATCATCAACCATCAATCTCATTACTCACACCAAGTCATAATTAACTTGGTCACAAGTCATAGATTATCAACAAAGCCACATGCATAACAAACAACCATTTCAAAATTTAGACATATATATATATATATATTCTTTTATTTCACCAACATAATTAATTAAGTAACATACAAATGTATAAAATAGATTTTCCCGGTTACCTTAACCTTTGAGAGGTCAAAGGTTATTCCTCAAGTTACAACACTTCTAAAGCTTTCCAAAGTTTGAATGGTGTCAAAAAGAAATTAATCTACAATTGATCATATCCCAATGTGTCAATAATATTATTAACACAATTTTCACTCATACTCTAACACCTAAGTATTTATTTTATTTTATTTTATTTTATTTTTAAAACCTTGTCTTAGCCTCTTGAGTTCTAAAATTTAATTTCATGTATTTGAACATATCTACTAGGTTCAATAGTCTCCTTCACAATAATTTCATTCAAATAATTTTCTAATATCAAAATTTCCCTTTTTATTCCAAGCCTAGAATCATTATTCTATAGCCATAATAATTTATTTCTCATCTCAAATAATCATCTAAATATCAACAAATCAATTTATATTTTTAGATTTAACCAAAAATCTACCCATAGGGATCTAAGGATAAACTCAAATGCCTCAAATTCCAATTCTATCAACAAAATAATACTCTAAAATATTTATTACACTATCAAAAACCTCAACAATCAGATTTTCTCACCAAAAATTCATCCCTCTTTCAAACCCTAGATTTTTCAAAATCTTAAAATCTGTAGCTCAAAGGGAAAAACGACTAAGAAAAAATGTTTAGAACACTTACCTAATCTTAGAATACTTAAAATCTCATATGAAGTATCCTATTATGAAGCTTAACCATTAAAATCACTACCGGCGATCTGCATCCTCTTGCTCTCTGTCGAAGTTTCGTGCTCTGAGGAAGATGAAAGAGAAGCATGGGAAAAGTGATTTGGTGAGAGTTTAAAAATGTGGCATGGGCCCCGTACGATAAAAGCTCCTCCTTTTAGTTTTATTCTCTCTCACCTTAATCTTCCATCTCGTCCTTTGTCTCTTTCTTTCTTTATCGTTTTTTTGTCTTTATATGCCATCACACACACATACTCTCTCATTTTCATTCCTCGCCTCCCCCTTTTCAGTTTTTTTTAATTTACTTTCCTAATAATAATAATAGCAATAATTCTATTTTCTAAAAAAAAACTTAGATTTGGATTTATGCTAAATTAAATTCAATAATAATTTCCTAACTAAAATTATTTATATTTAAATATTCCTATAAAATTATTCATTTGCCCTTGATTAACTTAATTAATCTTAAGTTAATTTTTGGGATGTTACAAGAATGGCCTTATTCCTTAGCTACTTCTCTTTCATATTAGCTATCCTTTTTACTGCATCTTTAGGCTCAATTATGTGAGACAGATTAGGTTGGTACTTCTTGAGTTTTGAGACGTGAAATACATCATGTACGCCTGATAAGTAAGGTAAGGCAATTCGGTATGCCAAATACCCAATCCTCTCAAGAATCTCAAATGGCCCAATGTACTTGAGAGTTAATTTCTTGGCTCTAATAAATCTCCCAATTTCAGTCATTGGCGAAACTTTTACAAATACATAATCACCTACTATAAATTGAAGCGATGATAGTTATCATTTATTCATATCATTTTCATATTATTTTCCATAGCTTTTGGAACTTTTTAGGGGTATATTGAGCATATTAGAATCATTTAAGATCATTTTGGCTGCTTTTGTAATTTCAAAACTTTTAAGGCCAAATGCAAATTTCTGAAAGTTTAGGGGGCAAAACTGTAATTTTTGAAAATAATTTTTGAAGAATAGAAAAAATCATCATTTACTAATTTTAGTTCTTTATTAATCCTATGAGTTTAATTTGAGTTAATTCAACTTAGATGGTGAGTTATTTAATAAAACACCCTTTAAAGTATACAGTTTTGTACTTTAATTGTACTTTCCATGAATTTTAAAAGTATACTAGGTTTAGTTTAAAAGTATACTAGGTTTAATTATACTTTCCATGACTCGTTTGTGTATGAGGTAGTCCCATTATGAAATCCATTGACACACTGTCCTATTTTCACATCAGAATCTCTAATGGTTATAGCAATCTAGGTGGCTTTTGGTGTTCTATCTTGATCTTTTGACAAGTCAAACACTTAGAAATAGACTCAATCACATCTCATTTTATCTTGTGCCACCACCACCGTCTCTTTATATCTTCATACATCTTTCTAGCACTAAGGTGGATAGTGAATTTACATCTGTGAGCCTCTTACAAGATTGTCTCCTTAACTACTTTATCTTATAAAATACACATTCAGTCGTGATACACTATGAAGTCATTGTCATTGAAGCCAAAAGATATCATTCAGTTCTCTTCAATATCTTCTCATATCTCTAACAAATACTCATCTTCTAACTATGCTCTTCTCAGGTCCTTCCAGAACTCATTTGTAATCACAGTGGCATTTAAGTTTTACATTATAAAATCTAGAAAGTGCTAGTGTTCACTAGAGAACTCCTCCAATAGCTTTTATTCTTGCACAATCATGTATGCCACATAGAGCGTATTCTAACTTAGAGCATTGGCCATTATGTTGGTCTTCCTATGATGGGACTTCAACTCAAAGTTATAATCCTTCAAGAACTCAATCTGTCTCTATTGTTCCATATTTAATTTTGTTTGATCTACCAGATATTTGAGAATTTTATGATCATTATATACCTTGAACTATGCTCCATACAAGTAGTGTTGTCATTTTTTCAATGCAAATATGACTGTTGTAAGCTTAAGATCTTGCATCAGATAATTCTCCTTATGCAATCTTAATTGTCTCTAGGTGTAAGCTACAACCTTGTCATCTTGCATTAACATGTACCCTTAAGTAATACATCTGGGTACACTATAAACAACATTTAGGATCCAAAATGGTTAGTACAAATGTAGTAGTCAATCTTTCTTTCAACTCTTGAAAAGCTTCCTTACACTTGTCTATCTACACGAAAAACTAATCTTGGTTAAGTTGGTCAAAGCAGAGACAATTTGGGAAAACCCTTGAATAATCTCTTGTAATACCTTGCTAGACCCAAGAAGGTTCTAATCTCAATCATAGAGGTTGGTCTTTCCTATTGCAATACATCATCAACCTTGTTAGGATCTACTATAATACAATTTGTAGACACTGTATGACCTAAAAAATTCACCTCTCATAACTAGAACTTGCATTTATTTAGCTTCGCATAGAACTTCTTTTCCTTTAAAATTTGCAACACTATCCTAAAGTACTTCATACAATCTTCATCATCAATAGAATAGATTAGTATATCATCTATAGAGACCACTACAAATTTGTTTAAGTAGGGCCTAAAGATTCTGTTCATATAGTCCATAAAGATTGTTAGTACATTTGTCAGTTCAAAGGGCATAACAAGAAATTCATAGTGCCCATACCTTGTTCTGAAGGTAGTCTTCAACACATCATCCATTCTCACTCTCAATTGGTGATAGCCATATCTCAAATCGATCTTAGAAAATACTACTGCTCTAGCCAACTATCTACTAAATTTTCAATTTGAGGTAACGGGTATTTATTCTTGATTGTCACCTTGTTTTACTATCAATAGTCTATACACAATCTCATGCTACTAGCTTTCTTCTTAACAAACATAACAAGCAAACCCCAGGGTGACATATACAATCTAACAAATCCCTTCACCAATAACTCCTCCACTATTTTGTAAGTTCATTTAACTCTAATAAAGCCATTCGATATAGGAGCCTTAAAGATTGGCTTGGTATCGAGTACGAGATCCATCAAGAAATCTACCTATCTCTCCTTAGCAGTAATCCCAAAACCTTATCCGCAAACACCTTGAGAAACTCATTCACAACCCCAATTTTATCTATCACACCATCATATACTAGGTGCACAGAAAAGAAAACTATAAAGGCTTGACATCCTTCCCTCACTGATTTATCAAGTTGTATAGCTAGCAAGGATTTGGAAATATTAAGGGTGACTATAGAAAAAGACTATGCAAGTTCACGATTAAATGTAGTCACTATGTATAATAGTAATATAAAACTATTTTTTTTGTTATAGTCTAGTGTTGCTCCCTTAGCAGACAACCAATCTATCCTAATTATCATGTCAATTCCTAACATGGGAAAACAAACCAAGTCAATATTGTGGCTATTTCAAAAAATGTTAACTCAACTTCTAAACTAGCATAATTGATTTTCACAGAGGCATTAACCAGTATGGACACATTCATCAAAAAAGGCATTTCAATTAGATGCAATTTTAACCTTTTTGCACACTCATCAAAAACAAATGAGTGAGTGGCATCGGAATCAAAGTAGGCAATAATTTGATGATTACTAAGAGATATCATACCTCAAAGAAGCTTTGGGAAAGCTTCAACCTCCTCTCTGGACATAGCAATCACTCAACCATCAATAGTAGACCTTTGGTCAGTAAGAGGAACATTCTCAAGGCAATAACGATCAATGTGCCTAATCTTGTGGCACTTGAAATATGTCCAGCACTCCTTGGTGTGATGCCTCCTACCTTTATTCACTAGTGCATAATTTATCTTTTATTAGGGACTTTTAACATCAGTTAAAAGGCATTCATTGTTGAAAATAGAGGTGATGGCATTTTTGCAATATTTGTAGCTATTAGAAGACTTTCAACATCAATTTTAATTTTAGTTGCTGTAGAAAAAATTTTAACATTTAGTATAGTTTAACCCAATGTCAAAAAATTATTAAAAAAATAAAATTTTAACTTTCCACAGCGGGTGCCACATCACTCGCTGTTAAAAGTATTTGAAAAAATTAAAAAAAAAACCTACCAACCTTTCATTTCCTCTCCATCCCTTCATCTTCTTCCTCTGTAGCTCCTCTCATCATCTTGGCTCCCCCTTCCCCTTCCCCACCCCCTCTATCGACCCCTCCCCTTGGTCTCTGCCCTTCTTTCGTCACCCCTCTCCCCCTACCCTTCGTCTTGGCCCCCCTCCCCTAACTCCCTCTGTTACCCCCCTAACTCCCCCTTCTTATCAACCCCTTGATGAATTGCCTTAGTCATGTTAGCACTCAATTAAACTAAGATTAACTTAATATAGTATAAGCCAATCTTAGGTCATTCTTTCTAAAGAGCAATTTAGGAGTTATCTTAAGTTGGTTCTGGGTATTTAAAAACTAATAAAAAATATAACATTAAATGCTAGATTTCTTCACTGAAATGTAAATGAGAAAGTGCAATTTATGCTGCTAAAACTACCTAAATGGTGCTAATGCTAAAGTCTAACAATTAAATTCTATTATGCAATGCATGAATTCTAAATTTTGATTTGGGGGGTTCGTTTCAAGAAAAAAAATGAAATGAAATGAAAGCTAAAGAAATTAATTAAGTGACAAAAAGGAATAATTAAACAAAAATGGAGAAAAGATTTCAATTTTTATAGAGGGGACTAATTAGGACATCACATGGAGTTAACTTTCCTAACCCAATTCAATTATTTAGACTGAAGGGAAATGATAAGAGAGTGAAATTGATACATTTAATTACCCAATTAAAGCAAAAGGAGCTCATAAGCACAAAGTCTAACGCTTATTCTACTAGAGAACTCATAGTAAAACAAATGTTACAACTATGAATTAGGATTCACATGATTGAAATAGGAAAGATAGGTCAAAACCGACAATGAAACCCTAATTTGCAAAGTTTGATGTCAAAACCAAGTGTTTTGATATGTAAAATGTAACATATTGATTTCTAATCCAATAACTAATTGCTAATTAGGGGTGGTTAGTAATTAGTGAGTAATTAGAATGTCAAATGACAAATTATGTTTTGACTTATTAGAGTGTTAAATGAGCATATACGAGAAAAGGGATTGCATTTTGAAATGTAGTGTGTGCGTGCGATGAGGATTTTTCTTACTGTGCCACATGTTGTAGTGTATGGACTAGAAAATGACCTAATAAGTGCATGGAAGCTCATGATTTTGGAGAGAAAGAAACAAAGAAAAAAGAGAGAGAGAGAGAGAGAGAGTGGAGAAGAAGTGAATCTTCTACTAAGGCAAGGATTCTTGGAGCATTGGAAGGCATTTTTGATCGATAGCTTATCGAGTAAGCTTTGTACAGCCCTTAGCTTCAAGTCCACAACAATTTCTCTTGGTATGAGTTATCGAGAAATTGAATTGGAGAAATGTAATGCCCTTACTGACATTACCATACACTCCACTACAATCTTACTAATCAAATCAAAATCATTTAGTTTGAAAACATTGAAAACCTTGGGATCCCAGTTAAAATTTTTTAGAAATCATTTTATAATTTCACTCAAGTATAAATCTTATTACACACAACAAAAGCAATAAATCTATGTACATCAACAATCTATAAAACATATGCATCACAAAACAATAAAGTAAAAATTAGCACCATGCACCGCGGCTCGTGCCACATATGCCATGGCATGTGGCACAGAGGCCATAGTTGCTCACTCTGTGCCATGCACCGTGGCATGCGAGTACATGCACCACGGAGCACACACCTGAATTTGCTGTCAATTGGTAATTTCAATACAAAATTCAGATGCGCGCCATTTTCACATACGATATCCGATTGGGATGGTTCAAGTGCCAATATGAAGCTTGTTTCAAAATCTAACTAATACACTAATTTATCCCAATCTAATATTTCTATCAAAAATTAGACACTAAAGTGCACTTTGATCATTTTCTATCAAATTTTATCACTTAAGTGTCTCAATTCAAAACCAATTGTCTCTAGCCACTTTTTGGACTTTGACTAAATCCAAATGAACAATATACACCTAATTGACCATACACATGCACAATATAATCTATATACACAAATTTGGCCTATAAATTGCCCATTTTACCCTTTGGGCCAAATTTACTTTTTCATTTTTTTAATCTCATATATGGTCAAATTACTACAAATAATCTCCATCCATCTCATATTCACACATAATTACCTCCATCTACTAGCCCATCTAGTCCTTTCATATTCACATAAGTATTAGGGATAGGGAGTTCAAAAATCACAAAAAACACAACATTTACCAAAATATGCACATGCTCAAGTCCTAAGGCAACTTATACATACTTTTGGCTAATAATTTACAAATCATTACACCATATTTTACAAAATTTAGGTGAGAGATGTCAACTCAGCCTATATCCTTTCTCTTTGACCCACTAGTACCAGAATCTAAAAAATATAAATAACCACGGGTGAGATAAAAATTTCAATAATTAAATATAGCTCATTAAATGTCTATTACTACAAATAACTATGATAAAGTAACTGAAATCATCATATAGCACATACATGTAGTATATCATAACTAAATTATCACTTTCGGATATAATCACATTCCAAATACTTTTACACCTTAGCATGACTAACTATCCACTGATCCTCCAAAGCTCCCTGACATGAAACCATAGGCTCTTTTGAATCAACCACTTGTTGACTCGAGCTCACTTTCAATGGTAGAAATACTCGGCCAAAGGTAATCTAACCCACTTACAGACTATGGTTTTCCTCTTTACACACTTGTGATAAAGGTGTCGTTAACTCCTAAATGTACCCTATCAGGCACTAGGGAGTTGCTAGACTGCCTGGATGTCCTATGATAACAGTCCCATAATATACTGTATCGAATTACCCATAGTAACAGCCCATATAATGTTACACCGGATGTCTCATAGTGCTAGGCCAACTATATCTATTTTACACTCACATATCTCCACACACACACACACAACCCTACATATCTTGGGTGAAATCCCATGCCCTATGATCATGCTTTTCCACAACTTTCACTACTTATACACCTTTTCAAAACATATATAGTTCTATATCATATATGTATATATCTATTAAAATCAGTAACTTTTCAAATTCATTTCACAATACAAAGTTCATGCTAAAAACTATTTCAATAACAATTAAACATAAAACTCATAAATTTATAATTTATCATTTGATATTCACTTCTACACAGTTATAATAGTTAATAAACATAATAAATTATATAATTACCTTAACCCTTCTATTTGATAGAAAGGGTTACCCCTGTAACTTCAACCTTATTCAAGCTCCTCTCTTGTAATTCTATGTCACATACTATAATCTACACATAATTGGCATTCAAAGTCAATTCCTCTATTGACCAAAAATACCAATTATCACATTTAAACACTTAATCACTATCATATCTAGATTTCACACTCGATTATGCACATTGCCACTGATCACCCCTCCTTTCAAGCTTTAACATTTTCTAGCAATTTTCTCTCACTACTCTCTCTCTAAATTAGGGCAAGTCTTGCTGATAGCTTCAAAACTTTATTGTTTTGACTTAAACCAATTACAAAGCACTAGTTTAACTCCAAAGAACCTTTTTATTACTATTGAGTAAGAAATAAACTCCTTAAAACTCCCAAATTTACTTTCTCATTAATTAAAACTAAGAGAGAATAGCGTAGATTTAGAGGTTAAGGCAGTACATGACTTACCCGATAAGTAACAAGTTGGAGACGCCATCCTTGCTCTTGATTTAGCTTGCCCTAGCAGATCCCTTACACTTTTCCATGTTTGATCTCTTCTCTCATGTTCTTCCTTCCATTTTTTACCAGCTAGACACATCATATTAATCTAATTTATGCTCCATGCATTGCGGCGTATTTATCACCCACTGCGGCGCATGGCACAATGAAGGAAATCCTCATTATGTTCACAAGCTCTGCTTTAAGACTTTGCTCTTCTACTCATATCTGTTCATATAACATCTTAATAAGTCAATATAACACTTCACCACTTAGCACCATAATCCCACATTAAACACTAATTCATCCTTAATCAGTCATTAACACAGGATTAAAAATTTAGGATGTTACAAGAAATTTAAAGGGTTCATTTTTTACCCTATAGTAATGAAAAGGTTCTTGGGAGATAAATTAAGGCTTTGTGACTAGTTTGGGATTGAATAATAAAGCTTTGAAGTTATAGACTTAAATTATCCCTAAATCAATGGTAAAAGGGAAGTAAAATGGGATCACTAGAAGTGATAGAAAGTTGTAAATGAGTAGTAATGAGTCTAAATTGACCAAGTGGAAATCAATGGATGGTTAAAAATGACTTAGGATCATAGTTAAGTACTTTTAGTAAATTTGACTAATTGGCTAATAGTATCTGTTGTGTGTAGATTTGCATATCACATGTGTAGAGTGAGAAAAGAAGCTTACAGAGGTGTATTAATGGTTGTAAAATCCACAGATAGCCTTTCTTGTGACAGAATGGCTGAGGTAATTGAATAACTTATTCTATTTGACTGTATATTTAACTATTTGAAAGTATGATAGCTCATGCATGAAATTGTTTTAAATTAAGCATGTTTCAAGAGAATGCATGATTGGTGCATGAAATGGATTTCAGTTAAATGAATAAGTAGAAACTTATGATTATGTCCTATATATATAAATGTCATTTTAAAAGTGAAATAGTGATTGGTACGAAAGCATGATCATAGAGGGTGGGAGTTCACTCGTAGGGAGAAGTAGTGAGAAGTCTATATGGTATTATTCTCCTTAATACCTGACGGGGTGCGGTGTTAGAGAATTTCATCTTCTTAGTGCCTATTGAGGTACGATGTTGAAGATTATCTCCTTAGCAACCACAAGGGGTGTAGTGTTGGAGATTTGACCTCCTAGCATTTGTGTAATGCAATGTTAGAGTAACGACACCCCAATCAATATAATAGGGAGAAATCATAGTCTGAAAGTAGGCAGAATACTTTTGGAAGGATGATTCTACCATTAAAAGTATGCTCAAGTCAATAAGTATGCATGGCCTAGTAAGAGCCTATGGTTTTATTTGAGGTGATTTGGAGGTTCGGATGATAATGATCATGTTAATATTGATGGTGATTTGTTGTGAAAAGGATTTTGAAGTGAAATTTATGTTATACACTATGTTCAAATGTATATTATTTATTACTTGCTTATAGTTACATGTGATAGTTAGTAGTAACGAGTTATTCTATTGGTAAGATTATTATCTCACCCTGTGGTTACATTTTTATATGTCAAAGTAGTGAGTCGGGCAAAAGGAAAGACTCCAAACTAGCTTAGTATGGATAAAGCCATGTAAATTAGAGTTTGTGTAATGGACTATGTCTTTTGTGAATATTGTAAAAGAATAATTTAAGTTGCCATAGGACTCATATGCATGACAGTATATGTGAATTATAGTGATTGTGGGATGCTTAGTCCTGTAGTTGTGAATATATAACGTTTGTGGTGAAAAATGTAGTGATGGGTTGTAGTTGTGAATGTGTAATGTTTGTGGTGAAAAATGTAGTGATGGGCTAAGAGTTTATTGTGAATGTGTATATGTGGTAGAAAAGTAAATACGTGGCTAGGACTAAAATGTATGTAAGTTTGATTTTGTGGTAAACATGTATGTAGTTATGATGTGGTAATTCAATGAGTAAAGATTGGCCAAGTATGTTTTTGTGAGAAGTTTGGCACATTAGCCCTTATTGTGTAAAGAAATTGTGGTTAATCAAGTGTATAAGGTCCTCTTGGACTTAGTTCTAGGCCCATAATGGTTTAATGAGGCAAAGTGTGTGATTTGAATGCTTGGGTGCACTAAATTCTTAGAAAAAGTAACTTTTTGTACCCCGAGTGTCTAATTTTGATCAGACCATTAGATCATGTCCAAAGTTATCTCATTAGCTATCTTATAAAGTAATCTTCATGTGGGTACTTAAACCACTCTAATCAAACTTCGCATGTGGAAACAACATAAGCCAAAAGTTCACTTTAGAGCTATCATACAATAATAGAAATTTCTATCATGTGCATTGTGGTGTATTGGGTGTCATGCCGCAGTGCTTGGCATAGAAAAGGAAAGCCTATGGCTTTGTGCTGCATGCTGCAATGCATGTAGTGCACGTCGTATTACATAGCCTAATTTCTAACTTAGTTTCTCTGATTTTAAAGTTTGAATTGGAGTGAAGAATGCATGTGTTTATCTTCACTATGCATTGCTTTGATATGTAAAGGATTTGTTGATTTTGAAAATAAAGTCTTAGGTCTTAAGCTTTTTCAAATAGACTTAATTGATTCAGTTTGGTTTTGTATGTGGTGACTTGGTTAACCCCTCCTAATATCAGGTGGATATTAGGGGAGGTTACATAAAATATATGAATGATCAGTGTTGCCTAGCCAAAGGCTTCTTCACTTTAGTTTGGACCATAGTTCTCCTTACTCAAACTTCAAGGGGACTTGGCTTGTCTCTACTACCTTTCCTCTCTATTTCCGCTCTATTAACCTAAAATAAAATCTAGATTGTCTAAATTTAATGCAAATTAAATCTAAATGGTCCATATTGAAAGTTTTTATTTTTTATTTATATTTATATTTTATACTTATTAAAACTAATTTTTTTAATAAATCTATTTTATTAATAATCAAACAATTCAAATTTAATTTGGAGGATCCAAAAATCATATTAAGTATAAAATAAAAATTTAAATTTGGACCATCTAAATTTAATCTGTAATAAATATAGACGATCTAAATTTTATTTTAGGTTAATGGAGAGGGAATGGAGAAGAAGGATATGGAGACAAGCCAAGTTCACTTCAAGATGTCATGATATGCCCGACCAACAATACCAATCCAAGCAGTGAGCTTGAGTAAGTACCCAACCAATACTACCAATTTAAGTAATGAAACTAAACATGCACGTCCACACGCACGCACGCCCGCATGTGCGCACACACACACACACATTCATATAGATCACTATTAAGGGGTGACCTCAGTAGAGCAGACCATGGATTTTTCTTAGTACTTTCAATTCCCTTACAGGTGCATTCCTATCTTTATGCATGCATTCAAATAATCAAGCATCCGTATGCATATCTATTTTAGATCAGAATTTCATACAAAGTTTATATTTCATAGGGAAATTTTAGTATTTCATAACTTTGGACTTCTTATATAAGCATATCATACAATTAGGCATTTCTGGTAACAATTAATCCTATTTCATATACCCAGAATACAATCATAAAGTCACATGGTACACAAATCATTACTCAAAATCAGGTTTGATGTCTTAAATGTAATATGTATACAATAAGTACAATAGCAAAAACAATCTCCCAAGCAGTGTTATAGACCATAATATATATTAATTTAAATCTATAAATACCTCAAACCTTTGAGAGATCTATGGTTTAATCTCTTACTCTTGAGTACTATTGCACTCAGATCTTAGTATTTTCTAGGATGAACTCACACTATAGATAAGTTTTATACAAATAATTGAACTAGTTATAACTCTTTTTAAGACTCAGATGGATAAATTCTAAGAATTAAAATCTAAGATCTAAGCTCAGGGCAAGATCTTAGACATAAGATCTATAGAATAGAGATTTAGAAGGTGTAAATTAGTCCTAAAGGACTTACCTTAGTGAAATTTGAGTCAATTGTGGCTCCTTAAGTCACTAAGGGCTAACCCTAGTAAAGAAGACACAGAAATCGCACCTTTAAAATGTTTGAAAGTGATTTCCAATTCTAGTTTTCTACTGAGACATTTATTTATAATTTTCTAAAACACACCGCTCGCCTTGGTAAGTCCTGCACTTCTCACCCTGAGAAGCTTACCTACTCGCCTAGGTGAGTGTCACAGTTTAGCCCTATTTGATTTAAGCCCTCCTACTCTCATTTAGCCCTAAACCTAGGGTCAACACCCTATCTTAAGGGACACTAAGACCTTTAATCAACCCTCCAACACTCAAATTCTCAAATCTCACTATGGTCTCCATTTTTGAGATGTTGCAACACCACCATTAATGGCTATGAAACACTCCTAACTACTACATTAATGCTAATTTTTAGACATTAATGGTCTCCTCCAACCAACCACTTGTAAAATCATTAATGCTTGATTTAAATAACCTAAAAACTCTCTTTAACCCTATTTAAGTCAATGGGTTTGAACCCATAGCCATTATAGACTGAAACTCACTTTCCCAACTCAAACACTAACTCAACTCTTCAAGAAAATGGAAGAGAAAGGGAGAAAAGGAGTATAGAAACCTTACTTTAGGTGTTTAATATCTTAGAAATCATCCTTTCTTTCTTCTAATTTCGTGAACTAAAGTAGACTGGTTTAAGCATAAATTTAACCGTGCAACGTGGTGCATGTGCCATGTACTATAGCGTATGGCATAGAGAGGGCTCTCCTTCATTGATGGTTACATATGTGCTGTGGCGAATGCGTTGCACGCCATGACATGTGGCACAAAACTACTCCCTTTAGATTTTATCCTTTTTTTATGTTTAGGTGACCTGATTTTTCTTTAAACCTAAATTTAGGGCTAAAATCATAACCAAACACACTTACTAGACCTTTCTAGCCACACATCACTTCAATTTACTTAATTATCCTAATTGGACTTAATTAATCACAATTAAATTTTAAGGATGTTACATATAACATCTCATATAAAGTTATACTTTGCATTCACATTTTCAATCTTGTTATGATACTTAGAGTATTGCTCTTGCATAGCAAAGGCTATAGTGTTGACACACATATTTACACTAGATTTGTTAGCCTTATTTACATATCCAAAGTGTTCTATAGAACTTCTCAGTCACATAATCTCTTATGTCATTGTAGTACATGCCATAAATGCAATTTCTTTGACAACATAGTGCCCTTCAAGCATCTCAAGATTCTTTTCATTGCTTTTTTATGTTTCTTATTGTGTTTGGACTAGTAACACTTCACATGTCTTGCTACAAAATGGACAACTAGACTTATACATGTTATTGTGTACAATACCAATAACACTTATATAGGGGACTTTTTCCTCTTTCTTCTTCCAGTGCTTTTACTTACTTGTACAGGACACGATTTGTCATTCTCTTCTAGAGTAACTATGAATACTTCCTGTTTCACATGGAAATGTTTCATTGGAACATTTTCTTTGTTACTCTTTGAAATCTTACTCACATCAACATATACTGAGATGATTGAGTTGCTTATCTTACTCTACACTGCCTTATTTTGTGTCTCATGAAAAGATACAGTATGACCATTTTCTTCCTAGGTAGGGAATTAATTCTTTAAGAAATGTGGCATCACACAATTCAAATTCAATCACAATCCCAATTTCATTTTCACTCATGACGACGTTACCATTTGATTGCTAAGAGTATCTAATAAAGAAATATTATTTCCTTCATGGACTTTTGTTTTGTTTTTTTTTATGTTTGCGGGAATTATCATAGACATACACAACTGGCCCTCATGGTCTAAGGATATTTAAATCTAATTTGTGTTTTGTCCATAACTTAAAAGGTGTGGATGTGACTAACTTTAAGGGCAAATGGTTATGATAGCAATTAGTCAAGCATCCTTAACATGAAATTTGTGGACTTGTTTATGCCATTATTAACTTAACCATGTCTTATAATATTTTATTTCAACAACTCCACTCTACTGTAAAGTGCTTAGGATATTTAACCACTTAATTATCCCTTTCTTTTTCATATAATTAGTTTAATTGATTAAACAAACATTCACAACTTCGAACAATTTGTAACAATTAAAATTTTAACTATAAAGTGATTGTCATAAAAGTGATTGTCACTAACAATATCCAAAAAAACTTCCTTGAAAGAAAAATTGAACAAAAAATATATTGTTCATTTTGTGATGTATGAAACTTTATCATAAAAGTTTACAATAAACCTATAATACAAAAATTTAAAAACAATGTTCCACTAGCATTTTGGTGCTTAAAAGACACTACAAAGAGTCTTGGTCTTTTTCACCATATAAACCAAATTCCTTGATTTTGCCTTGTTACCAATATAAAGCCACTTACTTTTAATTCAGCAACTAATACTACTTTGTGAGGGATCCTTAGTCCCTATCATTTTTTCCTGTGGAGCCTTAGTTTACAATTCAAGAAGAATAAAGAGTACTTGTCACATTTGAAATATGTGAATTGACTCAATTCACTAGTACCTTGTCCTATTTATTTTGCTCAGGATGATCCCTTATTAAGTGGCCCATTTTCTGATAGGTATAGCATTACGAAGTGACCCATTGTTTAGTAGGTAAATTGATCATTCTTAGGTTAGTTTTCTTCCTAACTTTCTTGCCCTTCTTGAATGACTTCTTCTTCTTAAAATTTGAGACATCCTTCTTACCCTTCTTGTCCTTTTGGTAATTAGGTTGGATGTTAGAAGGACTGACTTCTTCAATTATGTATTCCTTTTCAAAGGATTTATAAGCCTCAAGGTGAACATCTTCAAGCTCTATACGTTTTACTACATCATCAAAAGTTACAATGTTTTCATTATGGGTCAAATTTACTTTTATGTGCTCCTAACTAGAAGGGAACGATCTTACAACAGCCTAAACTTACTGCTCATCAGACAATATGTGTCTAACTTCTTTCAGTTCCCAAATCATATTAGCTATTTCACACAAATGCTTTCTCATAGGAGTATTGGGCTTTAGCTTAAAGGTGTTAAACTTTATTGTTAACCTTCTTAGTTTGGTAGTGGAAGTATCTTCAAACTTATCCTTTAATGCCATGCATAGAGCCTGGGTAGTGGCGTACTTATTATACTTGCACATAAGGTCATAAGCCATTGCATTTAGTAAAGTAATGCATACATGCTGTTTTTCCCAGTTTTGTTAAAAGGAGCGTGCCTTGATTGGATCCACATACTATTATTAATTTTTAAAAATAATTAAACTTAATTATTTGTTTATACCTACAAAATCAAATACCTTTTTTAATGACTAAAAATAATTAAATTATCCTAGTAAAAAATTATTACATAATTAAGCACTACGTAATTTAATTGTAAATTTAAGAAAATATAATTTATAATATTAATTTTAACTCATTAATTTAAAAAAATTAAATAGTTTTTTTAATAATTAAATAAAATTGTTTTATTTTATTATTGAATAACACTAGAGGTGACATATTTCTATTAATGATTGTGAATAAATTATTCTAATAACATAATCATTTTATAAAGAACCACTGGCTAAATATTATAGGTACTAGTCAAAGTTCCAAAAGCATTAAAACCATCAGTAGCTAATGCCAACCGCACATTTGGAGGTTCTAAAGTAAAATTTGGAAAGTCATGTCAAAAATTTTCCATGCTTCAGAATCCCTTGGATGCCACATGAAACCATCAACATTCTTTTCATCAACATGCCACCTCATATGCTTCACAATTTTAGATGACAAAAACAATCATTGCAATCGTGGCTTTAATGAAAAGTATTTCAAAATTTTTGTAGGTTTTTTCACTTGTTTTTTTCTTTTTGAATATCAATTTCCATCTTGATGTATGACATGTTTTGCAGGTTTTTCTTTTGTCATCTTCCCTCAAATATAACATACAATCATTTGGGCAAACATCAATTTTTTGATATTCCAATCCTAACTTAATAATAGTCTTTTTTGCTTCATAAAATGAAGAGAAAATTTTAGCAAATGGAAAGGCATCTACTAATAATTCTAGAATCATAGATAAAGCTTTATTGCTTATACCACACAAGCATTTAATATGATACAATCTAATTAAGAATGATAATTTTGAATATTTCTCACACCTATCATATAGTTGCTCTTGCCCATCTTGTACCAATTCAAAAATTCTTTAGTCTCTTCATTCATCCTTTGATTTTGATTTTGTGATGAATCCTCAATTTGAATTAAATTTTTATCTTCTTCTTGCACACCAAAACCATCACAAATTAATTCGTGAATGTGATCACTAGCCTCATTGCCTTGTTCTCTATTTCCTACGTTAACTAGCCTACTGGAAGAAGTTACTCTCAATACGTGTTTTTCACTATGCAAAACCCAACATGTATATCTAGGAGGGAATCGTCTGACAATTAAATAATTCCGAACCTCCTCTCGAACATTCCATTTTTAAAATTGCATTTAGGGCAAGGACAAATTATTTTACCTTCAACACCACTGTTTGTAAAAGCAAAATCTAAAAATCCTTCTAAACCATTCATATATTCTTTTGTGTTGTGAATTTTAAACATCCAAGATTTAACCATTTTCTGTATAAATAAAAAATATTTATAATTTATTATATTTAGGTATAAAATTTCAACATATTTTTTATTATTTAAATAAATATAAACAATGAAAATAAAAATCTCAACATGCACAACATAAATTTAAGCACAACAAATAAATTTAATTTTAACATTAATGTAACATTTAAATTATCCTATATAAAAAATAAAAATTTCAAATAAAAAATTTAAAGCTAATAAAATACAACATAAATTCATGTCACATTTCATCCTGGAAAATTAAACATCTAATTTTAACTCATCCTATTCATAGATATTCAACGTATATTAAAAACAAAATAATAAATATCATACATAAAATTTTATGTAATTAAAAAAAATATAATCTAAGATAAAAAATAAATCACCTCAAATGTGCAGTGAAATATCAAATTTATAATGACTTCAACAATTTTTTAACTCCTGAAAATATATAATAAAATATATTAAATATAAAAATATATATAAAATAAACAAAAAAATAAAAGAAAGACGAAGGAAAGATAGGAAGCTCGCGCACTTGAATATGCTGAATATTTTGCATGAATTTGAAAACTGCAGCGAGGGTTTAAATGGAAGAAACCGAGACACATTTTCTCAAAAAACGTGGCTCCTCGAGCCATAGTTTTGTCAAAAATGTGGCTTAGTTTCTGACTTTTTGTCGAGAAATTGTGGCTCCACAAGCCACGGTTTTGTCAGAAACCATGGCGTGGTTTCTGACAAAACTGAGTGAGCCACATTTTTTGCGGAAAACGTGGTTCAATAAGCCATGGTTTGTCAAAAACCATGGCTTAAGTTCATTTAAAAAAATTTGATAGTGACGGTTTTTTGTAAAAATGTGAGATTATGCAACGATTTAAGAAAAAACATGGCAATTGTCTATGGTTATTGCACCGCTTTTTTGTTGTGATATATAAATGGCCTTAACCTTACTCCTATTTTCTTCAACACATTTGAATATTTGGGTTTAACTTCAACCCTATACATATGTAGAGTCCTCTATTTGTCTGTTCAATTATTCATGATTAATCGAATTTCAAAATTTATCATTAAGGAGTGTATTTAATATAGCATTTTCTTAAATTCTTTTAGGAAAAAAATTATTCTTCATTTAATTGAGCTTATTTAAAGTATCAATACTTCACCTAAGAAGTGATTTAGAGGAACTAATTTTTGCTATAGTATTTAAGGGGTTAATAAGAAAAATAAACCCTGAAGTATTGTATGAAAAGCACCCTAAACCTTGAACTCTTAAAATGTGCAAAATGGACTCTAAATTTTTAAATTCATAGCAAATTAAACCCTACCATTATCTTTTTATTAACGTTGTTACTGTTCACCATGGGCCCTAATCAAATGCTAATGTGATAGTTCCTTGCTGATGCGTCATTTGTTAATTAGTGCCACAAGCCCTAAACTATTACATGTAATACAAATTGGCCCCATCGTTTAACAAATGTCATTTATTAATTACATGTCATTTGTTAATTACTTTAAAATTTTAAGCAAATTACTCCCATCGTTTATAAGAATGTTAGCTATTATATAGGCCAAATTGGCCTCAGCGTGGTCCATCATGGTGAATCTATCGCTAACTATGGTAAAAGACCCATAATTTTATAAAATGATGTTTTTACCCCTTTTTGCAATGTTTCTAAATGATTGGTATTCCATGCTTCTATATACTCTATAACTCTAATTTAGTCTTATTTTTGAATAATGTTTATATATTTAATAGTGAGAATTTGGGATCCTATTTAAAAAGAACTTAAAGTATTAGAGGATTTTACAAATGAAAGATGTGAAAGCTGACAATTTTATCAACAAATTTAAAACCCAAATTAACCGGTTAATTAAAATCCTCTAATATTTAAAATTTTTTCTAATAAGATCTCAAGTTTTCACCATTAAATTTATAAATATTATTCAAAATAAGACTAAATTATTGTTATAGAGTATACAGAAGCATGAGATATCAATCATTCAGAAAACATTGCAAAAAAGGGGCAAAAAGTATCATTTCACAAAATTATAGGTCGTTTACAACGGCCACTAGTACGTTCACTCTAACAGACCACGTTGAGGCTAATTTGATTTACATAATAGTCAATGTTCTACACGTAAACAGTGGGGGTAACTTGTTTAAAATTTCATAGTTTAGGGTCTAGAACAATACTTACATAATAGTTTAGAGTCTATGTTGCTAATTAACAAATGACACATCAGAAAGGAACTATCACCTTAGCATTTGACTGGGCCCTACGGTATACAGTATGATGAACAATAATTGTGTTAACAAAAAGTTAACAGTATAGTTTAATTTACTATGAATTTAAAAGTTAAAAATCCATTTTGCAATTATTGTTTCATTGGGAACAATTTTTCTATCATTAAAACTTTGGCTCATGTTTAGTTCAGATCAACAGCTATTTAAATTTGGGTCAATATCAAGATTACTTTTCGGATTCTTACCAAGTAGTAATTTTGTCTCTATAGGTTTCATTTCAAAATCCTCACCAAAGGATTACACTTTAGAAAAAAATGTTTTTATCAAAAATACCTCTTAGAGAAACACTTTTCAATATTTCAATGCCTTTGGTGGACTTATAATTCATATTTGTCCATTAAATAAATAATTTAAATGATTATAATTATGGTTATGATTTTTAAATTATTGAAATTCACTCATATAAGCACTAAAAGGCTCCTAAATTGATCCAAATATACTTAAAAATAAGAAAGTTACATATCAAAATGTAGATCTCAAATTTAAAAATTTTTAGAAACAAACCGCATCTCAATCGGATGCTTCATAAGCCTATATAAGCACCTAGAATGAGTCTAAATCAAAAATTCTGGAAAACTAGGAAAATTTCAGCAAAGCCCACTCTCAACGATGGAGAGTGTAAGCCATACACCACTCTAGAGACCTCAAATGACTACACACACTGAGACCTCTCAAATAGTGTAGTTCATACGTTTGTTGGGTCCTTTGATAGGTCCCACTTGCCACTTGGCACTTTTTCCTTTTTTTTAATTTAAAATAAAACATTATTATTTTATTAGGTTGATTGGGTCATTGACTGGACTTGATTTGACCCATTTCAATGACCCAAGATCAAGAATAGCCTTCCTTTTTTTATTTTGATAAAATTTTTTTGGGACTTGGGCTTCACTCATTAAGCCCAAACCAATTTTTTTAAAAAAGTTAAATGGCTATTGGGCTCGTCAGTCTAAAAAAACCCTTCTCTCTATTTTTTTCAACAATTTTATTTTTTATTTTTTTTGTTAGGGGTTGAAACAATGCCATTTTGTGTCATCTTCAACCTTCCGCTAGGTTCATTGACTTGGTTCTACATTTGGTTAGGTTCCTTGGACCCTAAACTTCAGAGGGCCATATCTCCTCCATTTGACGTCCGTTTTATGCATTATTAGTGTCATTTTTTTTGTTTTTTTGAGCTCTATGCAATGGTACCAACCATTAGCCCAAAAATTACTGTTTTCATAGACCCCATTTTGTTTTTTTTTTTTTTTACGATTAGGTGTTTCCAAAGCTTTTCTCGTGCACAGATTGCTATATAGATAACATATACAGTCACATATAACATAAATACAACCCTAACAAAACAAGATATCCTATTTAAAATGCACAAAAATAGACTTAGTCGATGCAACATATTGAATATAAAAAATATTATCGTAATATTTGCACGGAATAAATATAAGAAAATCCTCTATGACAGTCATAGAAGCATATAATAGACTGAACATTTGCTTTGATACCAATATATATATGGAGTTTGAAAGCATACCTATAAGTGTGCTGGATAGTACCTCTGCATGAGAACTAAGTTACCATATGAACTTTGCTTAGGCTCATAACAAATTCACCAATGGGAACAAAAGAGAAGAGAACTGAGGAAGAGTTTTTTATTTTGGAGATATTGTTTTAAACATACATATCATTTCATGTGTCCCATATGTGACTCTCACTCCCTAGACAATTTACATATGTGTATGTAAGCGTTTTCTCCACATTTCAATAAGAGGGGAATATTACACTTAATTAGGGGCCCATCTAAATTACACTTAAGAAGCCAAACTTCATTTTTATTCTAATAAAGCCCCATTCCTTAATGTAGGCTTGTCTTTAGGCTTGATCCACCAAGGGTGGATATCCTAACATTTGTGATTTGACTAAAGCTACAGAACCGATAAAGTCAAATATAAGGGAGCTACATGAAGATTGTGACCTTATTTATGAGGTGAAACTCATGCTACAAAGAGAGTTGATAGTGTACATCATTCAAATCGATTGTGAGGATAATGAAGCTGCAGACCGTTTTGCTAAGCTTGCCCTTAATCAAGTTTATTATTGGTTTGTCTCCATCCTTTTCTATCAAAATAAATAAATAAAGACAATTCCATTTCTTTTCTTTTTTCCCTAAATTCTATCAACCATATACTTTCTTCATTTCACATTGTAAGATACATTTTTAAAGTATCATGTTTAAAAATACAAGACATTCTAAGTCTTTCAAAGTATAATTAATAAGTTATTTTTAAAACACTCTTGATTAGGATGTATAATTAATAAAGTTTTACTAATTAAGATGACCAATTAAATAAGAGTAAATATGAAAGAATTATATTTTTTAAGGTCATTAAATAATTTACCAAGGATTCAACTTCATCGGATCACAATATAGTGCTCTTTCTAAAAACCTTGCTTGGTCTAAAATATAGGATACTGGGTAAAAATATATATATATATATATATTTCCGAAGATATCTTTAATTTATTATATCCAGCCAATTAATGAGGGTATATGGCATTAATTAACTATAATAGTTATTCTACTCAAAGGTATGATTTGAAAAATGTTAATTTTTGGGTAAGTATCTTTTTTAATTTGTTACTAGTAATTCTAGAAAATGCATATATATATATATATATATATATTAGTTGTCCAAACATGTGAATGATGGATTTGCTTTTTAAATGACCTCAGAAAGCAACAGTTCAGATTATAACCAGTTGTTCATTGCTATGATTCACTTTCCACTAAAAATATTAAGTTCTATGACTTTTATCGTCAGTATTGGCTCTTGCTTGTAGCTGCAGAACATATATTATTATTATAGCACATTGCCATGATAACCACTCCACTCCTCACATGTTTTTTTTTCTAAAAAAGAATGTTTTATTCAGAAAAGATTGTACAGTTATATATAATTAAAAATATACACTTTCATGTTAGAGCTATTTGATTAATCTTAACTCTCTATGGAAGAAAATGAATTCTTCATATAGCTAGAGTCGCACTATTGGACACTAGTTACATCACATACAACAATTCTTTGATCAAAAATCTATTAACTACTTTTAGCAATAGGAGTGTGATCTATGATAGCTCCTGAGTTCAATATCAAATAGACATATCTAACCCTTTCTACCAGATTGAAGGTCTAGATTCATATAGTTCTTGCAGAATAAGATCTGAAAGCTATCATGGCTACCCTTCATTACCAAATTGTCTATAGGTTGCAAAATCATTCAATTGATCTCCGCTTCCCTAATTTAACTAGGGATGCTTTATATATGGTAGCTAAACATCT